ACACACACACACACACACACACACACACACACACACACACACACACACACCACAAATGCCCTATATCCACGTCTGTGGCCGTGGACAGGGTGTCAGCGAGTGTATCCTGTTGTCCCAGCTCAGGAGAACCTGTTTCCTCCTCCATCGTGGCTCTCAGCTCCAGCCCACTCATCCTCAAGTTACAGAAAACACACAAAGACAATGACTCAAATATTGGTCACATATAAATCGGTTATAAACACACACTCAGGATGAAACACCTGCACCTCACTTCCTTGATTTAAGGGACTCTACTAAGGGACGTCGGTTTCAGACAGACAAAACTGTCAAATACTGCTTTCCTGTTCAGCAGGTGCTGTCAGGAACGTCTTACGCCCTAGAACTGTTTTTATAACCTTGCTGATTTATCACACTTTCCAGAAACCCAACCAGGAAATATGTGCYATTTTCTTGTGTATTTCAATTACAGGAATCTTAAAGTTACTACTACTCTAAGCAATTAATTAAAAAAAGAACATTTTAGAAGGAGAAAAAAAGGGAATATAATATCATTTGCATTGTTTCAAATTAAAACAGTAAAAGAACAATAAACCAATTACTCCAAACCAAATTTAAACCAGTTACTTTGTACTTTTTTTTTCTTTATTCAAGGACAGACTGGTGTTAAAGATCCAAGTAAAGACACAAATAAATGGTAAATTATGCTCTTGAGATAAATAGCACAGGTTTTTGTTGAAAAAATATATAAACAATATGTCTGCACTTTTATGACAGATGGCTTTTCTTACTATAATTGTGGTACAATAGATAACATGTTCAGTGCAGAAAGTACGTAATACATATTGTTTTAGAGAATTGCCATTTTAGAGTTATTTATTGATATATAATAAGTTTTATGAACATTTATGCTTATGATGTTCAAGTATAATTAAAAAGTGTGGTCAGTACACCACTGTTTTATATTTTCTTCTGAACAATTGTGTATTCCCTCAGCTGTTTCAGACTTTCAAGTGTTGCAAACTTAACGTGTTTAAGACAACAAGTAACTATGAGGTTTATTWTTTGTAAGTTTCATGAGTTTATGTAACTTTATTTTCATTCAAAATAGCAAGAGATCTTTCCAAACTCTTGATAA